TGGCTGCGTATCTCTGTGACAGCGGTTCCAGGAGCCAGACCCTCGCCGCCATTGCACTTCCCAAACGCAAAAAAACCCACATCCCCCCTCTCATTTCTGTCCATTAGCAATCCAGAGGGGGAGGCTTTGCTGAAAACAAATAACAACAAACAAAAGACCAAAGTGGGGCGAGGAATGTGGAAGGGGGTGCAGAGGGAGAACTTCTGTGTGAAATAATTGCGAGGAACAATTTCAAACAGATGTCTGTTTGGACTTGGCCCTGGGCTCGTGTCCCCGTTAAATATAGTGATTTGATTGGAAAACAAGCATGTGAGATGGGCTGGCGGCCAGCCGCACCATTCGGGGGCTCTCTAATGACCCCCAAGGGTTGAGGGGTCGTCGGAGTAAAAGCAGATCAGAGAGGATGTGGGGCCGGCAGCCAGGACAGGGCCCATAAATCTAGCCCATTCTCAGAGGAAGCTATCTTTTTTCACTTCGCCATCAGAATTAAAATACAATCACAATCGTAACATTGTGCTCCCATCAGTGTGCAAAGGTTATAATTCAAAGCGTGCAAACAGAGATGGGAGGTTGGGTTGGGTGGCAGTGGACTTTTGGGAGGAAGGTCAGCAGGGTCGTGTATTTTAGGCTCGATGAGAACTGCTGCTCGGGGGTTGTGGGAAACTGTCCTATAGACCTATATATTAAAATCTATGACTTAGCTGAAGATGCTTGACAATATTCGTAAGTGTGACAGTGCAATCATTTGGCTCGCAAAAAAATGAGTCACAAAAAAGGTTTTTGCCAATCTGCTAAATCCAGTTTATGATCACTGCACTAATGTATCATAAATGGGACGGATTATTGCAGTGGGAACAGCATTTGTGAAGGCAAAATCTCTGATGGCACAGCTGAGCGTGAGTTTTTCTTCCAATTTTCAGCCGGCTCAGTTTTGCACAGATGTGTTCGTGTAGGATGGACAGCTGCACTTTATGGCAGAGTGGCGCAAGATGATCAGGATCATTTTCATCCCCACTGACCACTGAAGGAACACATGTGCTTTTCACTTCATCAAAAATAATAACTTCATCAGGCAGCCAAAGAAAGAGAGAAAGAGTAATGAGATTTTTCTTCCTGCAACAAAGGGCTTAGTCAGACTGGACTGACCTGAGACCAGTGTTACACAGCTCTCATACGCTCTCTACAGGGGAGAAAGTACTGTGAAGTGTCACACTCAAACACACAGACCAAATATGTACAGAGTACATGTAAAGTGTATAAGTATAAGATATTAAATAACTATTAAAGAAATAAAAATTAAATAATTCTCTAAATGTATATTCACCATATAAAAATAAAAGTAGATGCTGTCTGGTTTGTCAGCTGTTCTAAAATATGGAATAAATTACCCCAAACAGATTTTGTAAAATGTTTGAATAACAACCTCAACACCATATGATTAAAACCTTTACAAATAAATGGCTACATTAGAAAATAATTACTCACTATGCGTCCATTGTGTCATGTAAGTATGAAGCTGCCAATATTTTTGTCAATGTCAGCAAATCTCATAAAATAACCAAAATGTGTTTCTCAATACTTTTCAGCTGTTGCAAAACTGCATTTTCGGGGACTATTTTCAGCTGCGGATGCACTAGTGAGTTTTTATGGCATCAGGTGTGTGTGTGGGATTAATTCAAAATAAACAACAGCATGTGTGTTCTTGGACAACATGAAGGAGCATGTCATTCAGTGCAACAGCTTTTGGACAACAACTGAGCTCCATGAGGAATAAGATATATCAGGCTTTGGATCAGTTTTGTGTTATTTATTGATCTTATATATTCTATATTTTACAAAAAATTTTCTCATTTGTTGGCAATGAGAAAATGCAGAGTATCAAGATCCTCATTTTTTAATCAATTAGAACACACTGAGGGGGAAGTGAGATCCCTGCTTACATCTGATCTCAGAACAGTGTTCTGTCCCATAAATAATCTGATACCTGTTTGCATTCATCATGTAATGTACTGCCCTCTTGTGGTGGCAGCAGGATAGTGACCCTGAAAGATTCACTTCCACTGTTTTCTTTATTATTTCTGTTATTTTCGTGGGTGTACCCGTGTCCCATTGATAAGGACAGGAGCCTGTCAAGCTGACAGGGGGGTTTGCATGCACATTGCACATTGAGGATAATCCTAGGATCTTTGACAGGTGATCAACCATAGCCAAAGTCTGCTTATCGAGCTGTCCTTGACTCAACTTCTACTGTTCTGAGGTCAGTTATGATATTGCACGCATTACATGCATGCGCAGACGTGTGAAAACTAAACTTGCGCACTGAATAAGAAGCAGCTCCAGCAAGTAAAAAAGTTAATTACATTGATTCATCATCTCTGGAAGATCTGCAGTAACTTTAAGAAGTTTGAGACAGAATATTTTTATTACAGGGTTAGAGCAGCACCTTTCAGGAATAGCTCAGTATATATGTTGTGTGCGTAGCAGGCAAGAGAGAGATAGAAGGGTGAAGCTGGCAACTGGAGCAGAGTTAGCTAGTTAGTTAGCAGTTAGCAGTGCTACTGTGAACGTTGGAGTGCGATTTATGTGCACTTTAGGCCTTTTGTGCTACAACTACAGCTACAACTCCTTAAGACAGAAGTTCCCGCATCTCCCCTGTGCTTCAACTACAGTCCAGACTATGAGCCAAGAAAGGCAGAGGTGGACAAATTAAACAACTTCATTACTTGAGTCAAAGTATATACTCCTCATCAAATATTAGTACTGGAGGACTTAGGTATTCAAAAGTACATTTTTATGTCAACACATTGTTTATTGTTCCACATTTACGGAACCTAATGACTCTGAAACAAGTGACTGACTGACTGACTGACTATAGATCCTGTAGAATAAAAAGAATGTAGAATATAATACAAAGCCTGTAGAAATGTCCATAAAAACACAATTGAATCAAAAGACAGTGATGAAGTTTGGTAATGATAAATAAGGCAAACATTTAAAACTAAATGAATCTTTTATTTCTAAACCTTCAAACATGGACTTCAGATCAGATCAGGTCCATGACCGTGATGAAGAATCTTCTGCCTCATCTTTATTAACTTCGTTAGCCCTCGTTAGGACACTGACGGTTTTGAACATGACTGTCAGCGGAGGAGTTGGGTATGATCTATCGCATTTTCAAAATAAAAGAGAAGTAATTCCACTGACTAAAAGCTTCAGAGTAAGAGTACTTCATAGAAATATAATTTTAAAAAAGTGATTTTTCTGTATTTTAGCTCTGTATTTGATATGTTTACTTTCAGTTCATAAGAATAATCATAACAGTTATTCAGCCAGGAAAGAGAAAGGTAAAGGTGTCCAGGCAGAGAGCAGCAAAATTCAGGAGAGAGACTTTCAGCACAGGAGAGACAGGCTTCTACTGTTGCTTCTACTACTACTGCTACAGTCACGAAGAGGTATGTTTTACTCTGGTCCATATTTTTGGCTGCTATCTGTAAAAGTCACCGTACGCCACTGCTCTTATTGATTCCTTCATGGGGCTTCACTGTAATTCACAAACTGACTAGATTTCAACTGGACCTGAAACATTTTTCTTTCACATATTACTTAATAAAATTAACCTTTTGGAGAAACACAGTGATATGACACAGCAACATACTTGCTTTTACTTGGCATGACTATGTAGTAGGTCTCTTCTCTGATAGGGATGAGCAGGCGCATGATGTTTCACTTAGTCACTTGGACTTTGACGTCTTTGTGAAAGGCGCGGGTTTCACTTTTGTGTAGGTGGCAGCAAATCACAGTCAGACAGTTCTGGCACCTACAATTGCACCTCTATTTTATTCCTCACTGACCAATGACAGTCTCTAAATGTGTAACAGTAATGGAAAGTAACAATTCAGTTGACTTCTATGCATTTCAGATTAGCAATTGAGTACTGAAAGGCGCATGTCTTCTTGTGAATCTAGTTTGGTTCACACAGCTCCCTTTCACCACAATATGCTATAGAAAGGACACACTTGTCACCAGAATGACCTTTTGACCCCGTAAAGATGACCTCCTGAGGATTGCTTTCAGCCATATGTTGCAGTGCCACATTTACTTGAGGCTAACATCTGACTCAACCCTGTTGACCATTCAAGCCAGAAGTCAGACTGTCCATCATCCAGGGAGGAGGGAGTTCTTCTGTGTGGTGACCAAGTGACTCTCTATTGCCTGCCACAGGGCCACACCATCATCCACCCTCGAGTTCTCTTACAACCGCCAACAGTCTTTTGCTGTTATGCACCTTAAATTCTAAAGGATATTCTAAAATTTATTAGCAACCTATAAATGGCTTTATACATTTCAACCTTAGGTGTGTACATAAAATTTGGTTTTCAAGTTATCAACCTATAATGCTCATAGAATAATTATGTGATGTTAATTTAAATATGTTATACAAAATGATCCACTGCATTAAAAGTGCGTAAAGTAGGAGATTTTGTTTGATTAGTGGAATGGATTTCGGATATGAATTCAGGTTTGCTTTAACATGATTTTTCTAAAACGTAACCAGCTATTTTGTTGTTCTTACACACTGGAGCAGAAAACACAACTATATATTGCATCTCTTAAGTTGTATTATGGGCCATCATAGACTCTGCCTTACAAATAACCCAAGGGTTCTATCATTTTCTGAGCTTATGGCGCCCTCTTGTGTGTGATACACGACATAAGTAGTACTGCAGTTATTCCAAATACATGTGTCTTTATGTTCATTTTATGTTCCTACAGGAGGAAATAGCATTTCAACAAAATGGAAAAGTTTAGTACAAAGCACTTTGGTTAATGATTTTTATGATAGGGTTATATTTGAGAAACAGGTGAGCAGGAGGATCTGAGAACATAAGAATGTCTCGCTACATTTGGTGGGCGGGTGGAGTATTGCAGGAATCAATCAATTGGACTGGTTAGTTGCAGCTTATGTGCATGGTTAAGTACATTTGAAATAAATGCTTATATAGTGAAGATACAGTACATTTTTATTAGTAAGTAATGGCATTGCAACACTAAATGTTCATCTCCGTTTTTCATGGAATGCAAACGAAAATGCTGTTGAACAAATTCTAATACATAAAAATCAAAAATTATCTAATACATAATAACAAAAGATAAAATTCATAGTATAGTACAGATACGTTCATGAATAAACACACACAAATTCTAATAATTAAACATGAGAGCTAAAAGGAAACACAATGTAATGTTTTGCAACATTTTACATAGATATTAAAGTGCATAATTTAAATTCAAAATTATTACATTATTATATTAACATCTATGATTATTTAATTTCATGGAACAATATTAAATTGGTACATAACACATGTAATCAATTAATGCAGAGACAAAAGGCAATTGTTGAATTTCTTGTCATATCATTATGGAAACATTTCATTTTTCCTAGAAAAAAAAAAAAAAGAAAATTCTATTTACAATAAGTTGTGAGCTACAGTACAAATTTTAATGACATTTTTAAGACATTTTTAAGAGGTTTGATTTTAAGGTTATACTTGACAAATGTTTTACTTTACAAAAACAATATGGTATCAATGATGTAAGAGCCACACAAAAAATGCATTAAAGAATCAAATTAAACAACAAGCAACTCAGCCTTGTATACCTTGAAAAGTGATTTAACCAGTAATTGTGGATCTGTTTTACTCAAAGTACTAATCAGTACCAATACTGATACTTATGGAACTGTGTGCTTTTAAGACTTAGTTAATGTCAAGTGCTAGAGGGCCTTTCATCGAGAAGCCAGTGAAGAAAGACACTTTTGACCCATCAGCACGCCAGCTAAGCTGACTTCGAAACATTGGAGTGACTTCGATCTTCAGATCTGGGAAACAAGTATCTGCCAGGATCAGGTTGTTCTTCACCTCGCCTGTAACTCTGCAAAGGAGCTCCTCTACCTTCTTCTCCTTCCATATTCTGCCATTTTCCCACATGGAGGCAAACTGTTCTGATGTTCTGATGCACCTTTTGATTTCCCTGAGGGGCACTAGTCGCTCATAGCCCTGCTTCTTCCCCAAGAAGAAATGGACAATGGGTCTCTTTCCATTGTACATTTCCCTCATCTCTGTATGATAAGAGGTCTTCATCTGTGAGATGTACTTCCCCAGACGTATGCATGGTTGAACGCCCGGCTGTGGCCACAACAGCACAACTGTGATGAAGTACAGTGGTAATACGTCATTTATTTGAATTTGCTCACGCAAAACTTTGAGAAGGAGCTCAGTTAGTTTATGGTATGGCTGAAGGTTTTGTGATTGTAGTTTGATACAACTCAACACAACATTGACATAGAGGAAGTCGATTCTCTCCTTCACAGATGGGCGATGATCACAAACACACAAAAACGCATGCTGTTTGGCGATCTTCTCCATTATTTCCATTGAGATGTCATTTGAGAGATAATTCAGTATCCCAGAGTATGAATCAGCTTTTTGCATCTCGAGGAATTGTCTTACCTCGTGTAGTTTGAGCATGAGAGGGATGGTTTTGTTCTTCCAAAGAGCTGCAGAATCTGTCTTGCAGAAAAGCTTGGCATACTCTCTGAAGCATCTGCAAAGCTCATTCTGGGCTACTTGTTCTCGACTCTCTTTCATTCCAAATCTGGAACCCAAGTTCACATAAAAGTTGTCAAGGAGGACGAAGTTCGTTTTCATTCTGTATTTGAGGTTGTAAAGTACGTCCTCAAAATCTCTGAGAATGTTGTAGTAGGGTTTGTGTTTTCTGTACCATTTATCATTTTTCTCTAGGTTCTGAAGTGTAATACCTTCAGAGAGAATCTGACTCATGATGTCATGACGGACATTGTCATTTGAAAATATCGGGGTCTTTGCCAGCACTTCAATGACAAGTACTCCAACCTGAATTTCTCCCAGGCACCCTGATGTATTAAAAGGGCAGTTGTCTGTTTTGATTTTTAATCGCTGAATTGACTCCTTCTTTGCGAGACTCTGTGTTTCCTTGAATGCATCTATTGCTGATTGAGCCATTTTGAGAAACGTGTTCAAGTTTTGAGGACTAATAGGCTCTTCCTTGGAGTTTGTAATGGCATTCTTCAGCTCATGCTTGATAACTTGTGCTGATGTGTCTGCAATATATGAGCTGTCTGTGGAAAGATCTTTTGCTTTCCCTGCCCAAACTTTTGCCTCTGGGAAATCTCTCTTTTTTAAGTAGTAATACCGGGCTAATAACTGAGAGACAATGGCATCTTTCTCAAATCTTTTTGATGCATTTATCAGCACGACCTCTTCCATACCAGGAGTTTCTTTTGCAATGTCTTGAATGAGTGGAGAGAAATGAGATTCCTCCACCAATGAATAATGTCTCTTCACCAAAATGTGGTGAACATCTTGCAGGAGTTTTTCTTTGCCTTGTGTACATTCATACAGCTTGTTTGTGGTCAGAAGAATGTCGGTGATATCAGCTTTGCTCATGTTGTGTGTTGTTGCAAGTTCCTGCAAACATTGTCTTGCAATACTTGAATGAATCACTTTCACAGCTTTGAATTCTACTTTACTCTCGACTGAGCAGCTGTCAATTAAAGTGGAAAATTTCCCAAATCCTTCTTCCACTTTGATAGTTCCACAATATGGTTTTGGTTGAAGACCAAGATATTCCTCACACAGAGAGACAGAGAGAGAGGCACGCTTGCAGTATGCATCCAACAGAACTAAAACAGCCAGGAGTTGTGCATGTTTCTGATTCCTGTTGAAGCTCTTCAGAGTGTTGTGTACAACACCCTGAATATACTCTGGCTTAAAGTTCTTCTTCATGATCATGAAACCATAGAACGTTTCAGCATTCTTATGTGTTTTCTCTATTTCTACAAGCTTTTCCTCAAACAGTTTCTGCTCTGTCTCAGAGAGATCATTTCCAATGTATACAGTGTCTTCAGATGGTTCAATCGTCCCAGAGAACTCTGACCTCATGCAGTTCAGGAGGAACACCTGTGGAGACTTAGACTGAATGTTTTTCTTCTCACATTCGTTTTCAATGAGCTGCTGCAAGTCAAATACTTTTTCCATATCATCAAAGTCATCTATCATCAGCATAACAGGGGCCTGTGGTAATTGCTCCTTATGGACATACGTTAAAAGTTTGACCACTTGATGTGCTACCTCAGCCAAGTCTGCGTTGTTGTCTTTAAGGATGGCACAACGGAATCTGTCCCTGAGAGCCCATAAAGTATGCATGGCCAAAGTTGTTCCACCACAACCAGGTACATGGAGGAGGTTGAACAACACGCAGGCTTTTCTCAGGAAGCACAAATCTTTTATGACTGTGTTCATGATGTAGTCAAACTTGTCTCGTTTGATGAATGGTGTGGATCCAGGCTGCTCTGAAAAATAGAAATTCCACCATGACACTTTGCCTCCTCTGTAGAAGTTCTCCTCTTTGACAATTTTGTCCTCGTTTCCACCTTCACATTGGTTCACACACAGAACCTCTAATGTGTTCAGGCTACGCTCCACTTTCTTTTCAAGAAGCACTCTGCTTCCCTGACCACAGGGTAGGAAACGGATGGATCTTCGGTTTTTTGACAAAAGACTAAGGATAGTGCCATTGACTTCAGCAAAACTGAGCTCAAATATACATCTACCAGAGATGTTGATTCCGCACCTAGCCTCGATTAGGTCTTTCCAGGAGGTAAATGCATTTTTGTTATCACATATACAAAGGATCTGGTCTGTGCCTCTGAGCTCCTGACAAAATGTACTGAAGGTCTCAACAAGTGGGTCGATCTTCTCACTCACCGTTGACCAAAGTAAGAAAATGACGAGGAATCTCTTGTTTGGAAGCACATCTTTCCGACACAAGAAAGAAATCACATCTCGAACCGAGGCTCCCTTGTCCATCAACCACTGGTCTATGTCTGAGGGTGCCTCATTCTCAATACCGCCATTGCAGCATACCCAGCTGGTGTTTCGAGTTAATTTCAAATTGCTTGCGATGTCCTCAATTGGTCCTGTGATTTTATACTGTGCTGGTAAATGGACACTTACTGGACTCTGCTGTTCGAAGTGACACTCTAATCCATCTTTAGCTGTTTCTGGATCAAAGTCCAAAACTGCTGTTGGATTGAGTTCTACAAGAAACCCTAGTGATTCAAACTGGCTTGAATGTGCTTTGTTAGTTACTATCACATATCGCTCAAAGTGTGACTTATCTAAAGAGAGCGATCCACCGGTTATCATCTGACTTAATCTTGAGCCTTGAGTACTGGTTTTTATCACACTGAGGTGTTTCTCTTCAGCTTGTTTTCGGAGCTGTGATCGTTGTTTCATGTTGTCAACAAACTTGTTGTACTCCTCCATAGGTTTGGCAGACGTGGTTGGTTTTAGGAGATCCCTGCTGCTACCACCATCTCGGACATAGAACTGTTTCGATTGATTTGTTTCAGTTTTGACTGTTTCTTTGTCTTTTGCTTTTTTCTTCGCTTTTTTTGTGTTGTTGAATGTGTGATAGATCTCTCTTTCTTCACAGATTGTAGAGTCAGGAACTATGTCCACTTCTATCACACATTTGTCAGACGATGTCTGACTCTTATTGAGAACCCCAACAAATCGAACAGGTCTGATGCATCTTTGAGCTGTTGCTTTGTGTTTGTACTCAAAACAATCATCAATGGCAGGTCGTAATGCCTTTTCATAAGCCTCTTTGTCCTTAACAACGACTCCTAACACTTGACCGTGAGTGAAGTTTGGCTCATCCCCTATTCCAAAATGTATCGTGCCATTGGTGCGGCTATTCATGCAGGCAGCTGCGAAGCGAATAACCTCATCAGTGAATTTGATCATTTTAAATTCATCTGGTGTATTGTTAAAACCTTTATACTCATGGCAGGGTTCAATCAAGTCTGAGGCACCTGATTCTGTAATATCAAGAACGCTGCTCTCCATGTATCTGTATGTATCATCGTACCTACAAAATGGATAAGGCTTGCATGGTCTCCCAGGCTGAAATGTAGAGCTTTTTGGCCCCTCTTTCTTTAATTTCACTACCTCATTTCTGGCATGGATGATAAGTTTTGCTGATCCATAAGTCACACCCATTTTGTTTAAGTCTGTTGTATCTAAAAGCAAAAGACTACGCCAACTAATGTTTTGCTTTAACAGTATTTCAGCATCTGTATCATCCACATCATCCAACTTGAGAGCCCATTCTCTCACATGATGTTTAGTCCAGTCCTTCATGTCAGGTGGCAGATCCTCCTCTTGAATCTAAAATAAAATCTGCTGTTAGTTTTCTGCATTTTCACCCATAACGATGCATAGTTAATTATTTATTGATCACATTTAGCATTGCATTGCAGGTGTGTTAATGCACAATGACTTGAACTGTTAAATGCATAGGAAGTGAACAAATTCCAAAATTATGTTAGTTTGATACTTTTACATTGGTTCCAAATGTTCTTAAAGATAAAACATATTTTATAGTGGTTGACAGTTTAGATATTCAGCATTTTAGGGAAAGATTCTACAATTCCATTTAACTATTATTTACCTTCATTTCGCCTTGATCCATCATAACAACATTGATTTCTTCTTCACCACTATAACTTCTTCACTGATGCTACAGAAATAATTTAAAGAAAGAAAGCTTTATTTAGCATTAGATGACTAGACACAATACTGGTAGAAACATACATTGTCATAGATTTCAGACTTACCTTCATTGTTCCGAGTCACCCATGACACCTTGCTCACCTTTCTCAAATCTTGACCATTAATGCTGCAAAAGAAAATATACATATTAATATTGATGTACAAAAGAAATATCGCAGCATATTTAAATAGGGCTGAGCGAATCAATGTGCTTCTACAGCTCTTTAAAGAAATTTAGTCTGGGAGATGAATGGGAAACAATGGCACACTCTGCTTGTGCATAACAGGCAGAGCGCCTGGGGCAGGCATACTGCACCATTGACTTAAGACCCAGTTTTTGGTCAATCGTGTAATCACTTTCCAAGTGTATTTTCTATTTAAACAACATGGGCACTGGACGGGAAAATGACAATTGTGTTGGTCTGAAATAGTAAAGACACTTGCATTGCGCTTTGCGCCTGGTGTAAGATGGACCCTTGGTATTGAACCTCAGTACTTTAACCAATAAATCTATCTGTTGCGTTGGACATCAAGAAATCAGCAAATTGCTATACATCACCTGAGGGCAGACCCTCATTTCTGAAGAATTTTGGTTTAGTTTCTATTTCTTGAACCAAATGACCTGAATTCAATGCCAAGCTCCTTGCATGAGTATTGTCATGAAGAGGACTGGACATACAGCAGTGAAGGAACAGAGCAACATAAGGCCCACATCTTTTCTTGTGTTGATAACAAAGGCAATCAATATATATACTTGATAGAATAGTTGAATGTACCACAGATTACATTAACTTCTGTATGGACACTGGAAAGCAGTGGACAGTCCTTGCTGGTATAACAAACAACAAACCCTGGTTCAGCAGTATCATCAAGACCCTCCTCAAGCAGTAAAAGGAGGCCTTCAGGGATGCTCAGGTATGTGAAACATGAACTGAAGAGGAGATTAAAGCAGGCAAAGGAGGACTACAAAAAGACAGTAGAGAGGAAGCTGCAGCACAACATCACAAGAGAGGTGTGGAAGGGGATGAGGACCCTGGAGCAGCTGCTTCTCCACCTTCTGAAGCCTCAGGTTGAACATGCACTAGACCCCCTACAGTTCGCCTACAAAGAACATATTGGTGTGGATGATGCTGTCCTTTACATGCTCCACCGGGTCCATTCTTACTGGATGAGCCAGGTGGTTACATGAGGATTATGTTCTTTGATTTTCAAGTGCATTTAACACCATCCAACCCCCCCATTCTTAAAGACAAGATGGAAGGGATGGGGGTGGATCCCTGCTTCACGTCCTGGATTGTGGATTACCTGACAAGACTACCACTGTAGCGGAGGGCTACAAATCTGTACTGTATGTATGGCAGCACACTTAAAACCACCTACACTTAACTGCACTGCCAAGCTAATAAAGGTAGGCCGCTAGCCACTACCGCAGGCGTCCCACTATGGATTTGAAGATGCTGTGGACACTCACTAAAATGACTGGGAAGGGCAAAGGGATAACGAAAATAAACAGCCCAAAAATATACTTAAAAAAAGAACATTAACATCAATGTTAAAACTGTCAAATAAAGGCCCAGGACTAGGCCCTTTTGCAGCATTAATGATGTGATAAAAATATATGGAACCAACATTAGGGTTGTTCCAGATGAGGAAGAGCGAAGTTCACGGTTCAGAATTTGAATATTCAAAGTACTTCCCAGTTTATACAACAACTAATGCACAGGCTAAGAGAGAAGTGCAATAACAGGAAGGAACTGTGAGAAGTTGAAAATGCATATCCTAACGAAACAATTGTCGATCTAGCAGACAGTCTTTTCTGAGTCAAGTAGATCCAGAGGTCAGAGCAGAAACACAAAACCCTACTTCACAGCCAGCAGATAGTCCTTTGAAAAAAGACTCAATTAGAGGCTACTGGAGGTGATAATGATTGTAAGATTCAAGGTGCTGACTCAGAGGGAGTAGCAGCGACTCTTCATGGGTTTAAGGAGATCCCTTTACACAGGCAGTCTCAGGTAAAGAGCCAGAGGAGAGATCCCTCCTGGAGTACACTCTTAAACTAATTAAAGGGTTGGCTTCAGAAAGGGAGGTTCAGGAGATTCCTCTAAGTTACATGGTGTTCTAGTGCGCTATGTGAGACCTGCTGCTCATCCAGCCAATCATAATTGAGCAGGCTGCGCTTCCTAAATGTTACCGCCTACATCTATTACACCTGGATAATGAGTCCCTGCTCAATGGTTACATAGGTGTGAGAGAAAAAACACACAAAAAAATAGATTCAGTGCCATCGGCCCATTATCAGAGATTATGTTCAATGCGTAAGGGGTTAGAAAATGCCAAAAAAAAAAAGACAATTAATAATACATATGACAGTGTTATCCATTCAATATTACAGCTATATCAATATTGTATCAGATCATCCGAAATTAAAAAGTACAAAAGCAGAAAAAGGAGACAGTAGGTAAGTAAGGGCATTAGTTGTGCTGACATATAAAATCGTATTTTCATCAGCATGGCAATATGAACGTGCAATAAACATCGCAAAAGACACCAAAACAGGTTGCGCCTTGAAAACCCAGTGGGCCATCGCATTTCTGAGTCAAATGAAATAGGAAAAAAAAAAACTTGTTTGTGTTTTCTGTTTTGGTGTCGGGCTGCAGGCTCTCACATGCTCACAGCACAGAGGCAGTGGAAGAGACCAGTGAGTGAACTAGCCGTAGCTCTGAGTGTCATCACAACCTTTGCGAGTGAAAAAAGCAATTAGCGTCCTTCATCAAATCATCTGTTCAACAAGATTTAAACAGGAAGAAAAGCTACATTTTCAACTCCGTCATCCACCGCGTTTTGTTTTACATGAGGGCAGGGTGCTATCGTTAAGCTAATAATGGACTGTTATGAACAAGCTAAATGGAAAGTTTGCTGTATGTAGACTGAAGCTTCATTTGACAAAAACTTTTACAAACTTGTAACTACAGCCTGAGACACCTGGAACAGTGAACAATGAATCAAAACCGTCACAATTATTAGTTCCACCTATGGCATTTACACCAGTGCTCTGCTTGTTATCACAAGTCACGTCAGCCAAGAGGAAGTCCTGATGTTTCACAGTATACAGTACTGATATATTGCCCAACTGCAACTGGCACCGTGAAAAAAAAAATAGAATAAAAAAAATAAAAATAAAACAAGAAGAAGAAGGCGGCTGAGTATGAAGGTTGGTGTGGTTCAAGATAGATCAAAAATAGTGTCACAGTAACTGTGGCAATATTAAATTCAACTCAGTACAAATAGGCCTCCTTATGCATCACCATTAACTTCTGTGTTATCAACAAATACATATTTTCTCTTATGAGGTGTTATGTTATGAGGTCTTATGTGTGTGCGTGTGTGGGTGTGGTAGGGTGGGTGGGGGGGGGGGGGGGTGCACACATTTGTGTGTATTTGTGTGTATTTGTGTGAGAGAGAGGAAACGCGGGGCGATCCGTGCAGAATCTCAGAATCTCGGACTCAAAGCAAACCGGACTGAGACCAGCTCTCTCGGATCGGGCTGACATCACTTGGCTTGTTGAAAAAACTGCTGACTAATCGCCGAGTACGTGTTGAGGGCTGAGACGGACCCAGTTTCATTGTTGCACATCAGTAATAATCACCACTCTGCAACGTTTTCATTCCCTCTGGCATCTGTTTTCTCTTCTGTCTATTGCTGCAGTGGGATGCACTGTTGTGTATATGAACTTATCACAATGTGTTCAGTGCGCTCTCTGGTACCCACTGCGGTTACAATAAAATCAAGAGGAAGCGTTTTTTTCAAACATGCTCAATACACAATTCACAAACAACTTACGTTAACAAACAGACACTTAAACGCTGTCTTTATCAGAATCTAACGTTATAACATTAGGACTGATCGCCTCTGACAGCATGGCATTTTTTAATGCTATAGAGGAATCCATGCAATGTCGAAGTGGAAACGAGAAGTTATATTATGCAAGTGTCAAAATCACACTAACCTAAAACCAGCAAGACGAACGTAAAAACCTGAATCGAGCAGGCTACAGCGTCATAACTGTGGATATGATGCATTTCAAATGATTCAAACCATGTCTGAAAACAAACGATAGAGACTTACCCATCTCTATTCTTCCATCCCGCGCCGTTTATTGTTGAGGTCTTCAAACAGAGCTGATGTCACAGGCTGTTGGAGAAGAGCAAATAAAAGCCACCTCTGTTCTTGGCGCTGGCAGAGAGGAAGACAGAAGATCACCGCCGGTGAACGGAAGATAAGTTCAGTTGGGCGGTGATTTCAGAAAAAACGAAACCTAAGAAAACGGTGTGTGCATGCGCGTGAGTGTTGGCTTGGCCTGGTTCATTCAAGGAAACGATACCTAAAAACACTGCTGATTGTAATTGTACAGTTGTGTAATTTTTTTCCTGCAGTTTACTGTTAAACCCCCAAATGAACTGGAACTGAAAGTACCTGCAGATAGATAGATAGGTAGGTAGGTAGATGGATAGATCTAACCACACTAAATTTTAAGTGTAGTGTCACAATAACTGTGGCAATATTAAAATTCAACAAAGTATAATAGGCCTTCTTATGCATCACCATTAATTTCTGTGTTAACAAATACAACCTCATAAAAAGACAAAAAGGGTGTGTGTGTATGCACCCTGTTCTGCATCAATTTTACTGCACTGAGAAATGATCCATATACATATTAAAGGAGATAAAAGACTGCCTTGTCGAACTCCATTATTCACATGGAACAGATCAGATACAGCGTTTTCCCATCTAACTCACATTGTCTGATGTACATAGCAGTATACAATGGAACCCTTTTTGATATCATCTGTTAATAATTTTTGATGATTTATATGATCAAAAGCTTTAGAAGTATCAATAAAACACATAAAATTGTTGAATTTTGCCTTTTGCATTATTTACAATCGCCTTTAAAACAAAATACACATACCAGTTCCATGTTTACACTTAACCTCCAAATGGTTATTGTTAGTCAGGATGTACTGTTCTGGCCTGATTCTGTAAGGTTCTTCATCTAGAAAATCACTAACAGGGTATGTTGTTGATACTACTTTTAAAAAGGGGTTAGGAGCAAAAGGACATAAAAGATAAAAGGAAAAGCACTATTGCTCCTATCATCCCATACAGAGCATGAGTTGAAATCCCTCATTGTTTTGTTTTTTTTTTTTAAAGAAAAAAAAGAGAAAAAAAAAAACAGACTGTTATCATGTTTTTTATCCAAATTGATCACCAACTTTTGGAGAAGGTAAAGAATGTGTAAACAGAGGAAATTGCATTGTGCTGTGTAGCAGTTGGAGTATAGGAATGGGAATTGCTTTACAGATTTTGTCCTATCCTTTTCTTGAAATAGTAATATTATACTTTTTGGTGATGGATAACAAGTGTCAATTTGAATTCAATAAATCCTAGACAAATGTTAACCATTGTCATACCAATCAGCTTCAAAATGGATTTTCCAGTTATGGCTATGACCTTGTTCTACAGTAAAGACACATAGATTGAGGTTCAGAAATTTAGTCTGGGTCAGTTTTGTCAATACTAAAACAAGGTATTTGACCTCATGTTTAACTGGGATACTGGCTCCTATACTTCTTCCATCACTGCTGTGAAGAGTTCACATTCCCTAAGGTGTACAGTCAGACCAGATGCTCTTGAGGAAGGACTAATTTTACTGATTGGTGACAGTACGGCACTGGTTTAAAAAACACACACACACACACACACACGGTTGGAAAAGCAATTTGCCTAATTACCTAATTCTTTTCCCAATATTTCAATACCTTGAATGTCTCAGGACTGGGGAGGTTTTAAAGTATATCGCAAATCTATTCTGAGGTTAAAATAAATAATAGGTGACTATACTATACCTTTTCTAGCCTCGGCTACCTTTGACTAAACATAAGCATGGGCTTCTTGATCCTCTTAACAGTTCCCTGAATCCGATATCTCTCTTAGTCCCTTAATGCCACATCTGCCTTGTCCAAACTAAGAGTAAGACTGTCAGCCCTCACTTTCTGTCCCTGTCTGTGCACAGTATCTACTGTGTTTTGCAGTTACTCAGCCAAGAGGGGGGCTGATGTTCGCTGATGTTTTTCAATGATGACGCAGAGACCACCTTCACTTGTGACTTGCATACTCAAGGAAAGATCTACGCAGTACTGCATCTCTTTCTGTATTGTAACCACTTATTTCTTCAACTTGTCCATGTCTTCTATTACCTCTTGGCATTTTTCTTTAATTGCCACTTGAAAGCTTGGATATGGTCATCTTGGGTGTAGAATTTTCATGTGAAACTCTGAATTGGGGCATTGGAGATTTCCTCATGAACAGAAGAAGTCTTCAGGGTATGTTTCCGGACTGGTTGTGAGTCATGAGTCAGGTTCTGGCACGTTTCTTCTTGATGTTCCACCCAAACGATACCCATCATCACATGCTTGTTGAAGAGCAGCTAATGAGTAGCCAAGCCCTATCCTAGCTCCAGCCTTAACAAAAAGTACATTCTTAGCAGATCTTTTGGTGGGTATAAACAAACCCCAATGCATGCACTAATCTTCAGGATTGACAACTGAATAGACACATAGTAGTACGTCCCAGTTCTATAACCTGCATGAAGCTAACCTCCTCCCTCTAATCTGGTACCTTTTAGATTACATGAGCTAGGCTAAGAAACTCACACCTTCCCTCCCACACACACCAGGTGGCCTCAACAGCCATTTTGAGTAGTTTCTTTGTTCAAGTCATGTGGTCACAGTGACCACTTTGAATCGGCCATCTTGCCTTTGTTTATGTCCCCACAGACACACTCATACCCCTACACACATCTGTATATACTACATTAGACACTGTTGTACTCTGTGCCATTGTAAATAAATGCATTTAAGTATAACTACTGGTGTGTTTAATGTTGCACAAGCGTGAATATTGCCAACCTCTACTTTGTAGAATTCCAATCCTTCAACTTTAACTTACTGTTATGGTAATTTGGTTACAGTTAGTAAGCTAATTGTTAATCGGAGTACCAGATTAATGGTAATAAATTGAGACTGAAACCATATTGGCTATTTTTCCTATTAGTATTAGTTTTGCCCTGAGAACTTTAATTTTAAAGTTATTTAATATTTGTATAGCCAATAAATTGATAAACAACCAAAATTCAACATATTTGGTGTCCAGCTCATGAGGTAGAGCTCAGACCCAACTCTGTTATCTGTCTTATTTAATCCCTCTGATTCGAAAGGTTGATGGTGCTGAAATTGCAGCCCTATATCCGCCACTGCATAGACAAAAAAGAGAAATTACAACTGGTCAAAAGATAGCCAGTGTTCTTCTCCCATGGTATGGTGTATACACCACCCAAAAGGAATTTGAATCCCTGAATTAAGTCTTAAAACTCATCTAAGTGCCTGTGCTAAAGTAGCCTTATCAGGTAACAAAGAAGCGAGAAATGAAAACCGCTGCCCTACATAACCAAATGGCGCTTGATCTGGTTCTAGCTGCTCAAGGCGGAACATGCAAAATAATAGGCACAGAATGTTGCACTTATATCTCTGAAGATACAGCTGACATCATGAACATGGTTCACAGCACAGCAGAGGGCATCAAAGAATTACACACTGTGCATGGGTTCACCTTTGAAGATTTATCAGGCATCTTTGGGTCATGGGGTGCTGGGACGATAAAGTTTTTCACTTCTCTCGCAGTCATAGCTCTTCTTATCCTCCTCCTCCTCTGTGTATGTGGAAGGGAACTGATTAAACTGTTGGAAGAAAGCCACTAATGCTGTTACACAGGTGCCGCAATTAAGAGTGGGAGTGGTGGGTTCTGAGAACAATTTGCTAGACACCAGGTATTATGATTTTGAACCCTTTGATAACTGGCTGCAAAGTCTAGGTATAAATTGCAACACTGATGAGGAGGACAGGACTAGAAAAAGACTAGACAGAGATGAGATTTAATCAAAGGCTGAATTAAGTCATCTGGCCTTTAGTCTTAAATTGACATATCTACTTACTAATCAGGTTGCTTTGTTTGAAATGCTAAATACATATGTTCCACATAATCTTTAGTCTGATCACTTGTTGCGATATATTCTGTATAATCTTGAGTAGAAGTTTTAATGATGGATTCTTCATTTAATTGTTTCGAATAAATATAATCCACTCAGGATTAATGAAAACATTCTTAGCAAATGCTTTCGCTTTCGTCCGTCTTGCGTCGGTCCAAGAATTTCACCTCTAGCGGCACAATACGAATGCGAATAAATGTAATCCACTCAGACGTGATTGCCTTTATGAACTATGACAATGCTGCTGGTTGAATTCACCTGATAAGATGATACTCTCAATTAGTCATTATGCTGTAATCGACAATAAATAAATAAAAATACCTTTACAAACGAACAAGATGATTCTACATAATGGATTCCATACCACCATGCTTCGTAAGGGCTTGTAACCTCTCCATAGTGGCAACCCTCTACTGTACATATAGTAAATAGGTTGAAGACAGGTCAATGCCTTAATTTGAGTCAGATGTGATTGAGTAATTGTTATTTTACCTAAGATTGATCAATATGAAGCTGTTTTATTCCTAATGAATTAACTTGATTGCTGTGAAATGATGTTCCCAAGAATCGATTTGTACTTTTGAGTATGATCAGCATTAAAAATACCGTAAGTTAATCAATTGTTTAACAGTACCTCTCTTTACATTATGTGGATTAATCTGGAAGAGATAGGGCTCAAACAGGCTTTTGTCCTCTAGGTTAGAGTAATTAGCGCAGGGGTCTTTTTGTCCTTTTGTCAACGTGGGGGGTTTTTTGGCTCCTGTAAGTAGGCCCACGTGAGCTTCTTGAACATCTAGGTGTTTTAGGGGGTTCTTCATTCCTCTGAGGGTTGGCCTTGTTGGGCCTGAACATGTGGTCGACCTAGAGCCAGCCTGCTCCGGCCTACATGTAACTCCAGAAGCCTGACCTCAGTCCTAAATCCTAGCCCCAGGCCTGAACAAAGGAAAGGGCGCCAAAAACGGCCCCCCACAGACTCCATCTCCCAGCAGGCCTTGCAGTTCACACCTGAGTGTGAAATCTGGGGGAGTCCCAAACTCACGCTTCCCATTGGCAGAGATGCAGGGGACCCCGGCAACTCCACCGTGACGTCACCGCATCTATAAAGGTCAGACGCACGTACTGACCAGCGCCTTTTCCCAT